ATCTTTCGGCCCGATAGCCGATGAGATCAATTCGAGATCCGCCAAGACGCGCAGATGTATATGCGTAAATAAATTCATTAGCAAGGTAGTATAATTAACCGACCCACGGGAGAATTCTCATTCGATTTCCGACGTTTCGAATCAACCCCTTTCTTGCCAAAAGGAGACAGAAGAACCCCTATTATATCGACTAGAAGATAATTTAGTCGAAATTCTTATTTAACTTCTCAACGAAATTATTTTGTTCGGAAAATTAAATAAATACTCAATTTCTCTATATTTCACATCATAGTACATATCTACTCAATAATAAAAAGATTGTTTTTTTTTTTTTTTTGATATCAAAGCATCGGCTGGAGAAAAATATCGTCTGGCTCTCTTGAAATTAATAAATTTCCGATTCGTAAATTTCTTAAGAAATAATACCGTCCAGCAACCGTCTAACGATCCATTGTAGTTTCTGTCTTACCGATTATTCGGCATTCTTCACGTATGCGCGAAGTGAGTTCCAGCGAAGTCTCTCGCGATAAGAGTAAATATGCGATCACGTTTTGCGAGCGGCGCTTTGACGAAACTTCAAAACGCAGTATCGAGCATTAGCTGCCTCGGCTGCGAGATCTCGGGATGAATCGCGGAGGTAGCGAAGAACGAAGGCCCCTCGCATCCGGCTGCGATCCTGTCCTGTTGCTCGCACGTCAACCCTCGTTGTTTTTTGCCGGGCTCTTAATAATTGATTATCTGATTACGATACATTATACCTCTCTTCCTTCCCCCCCGTTTCTACTTTAGCATACTGTCAGAGGGCATTATTTCTGCACCGAGAGAAGGAGCGTCGTAACAAATAGAGTGAAAGAGAAAGAGAGGAAGAGAGGGGGAGAGAGAGGAAGAGAAAGAGAGACGTGGAGAAGCAACGAGCGAGAGAGGGAAACTTTTTCTTTCCGTCCGTCCGGCTACGGACGGCCATTTGCATATAGGCCCCCTTATCGACAAACACACCGGGGGCGCCCTTCGTAATGAGGGCCCCCTCCCTTCGTTCGTCGTCCCTCTTTCCCTTATTTTTTCAACGTGGACCGCTATTGTCCGTTAACTCATTCGTCGGGACAGCCGTGGACCAGTAGTGTCTCGCTTCCTTCCTCGTTATTCCCGTCTCTCTCGCTTTGTACTCTCCTTCTCTCTCTTTCGCTCGCACTCCTTTTACTCTCATTGTGCGAGAATGTAGTGGTAACGTATGTTACTACAAAAAAAAAGAGAGGGACGAAGAGAGAAAAGCGGAGCAAAATAACAAAACCGGTCGCTCTCTCATTCCCTCCTTCTTTCTCTCTCTCTCTCTCTTTTACTGGCGCACGCACGTCGAGAAATATGAATCACAGAGATAAAGGCGGATGCGTTGGTGTTAGTCTCTCGTGACATCTGCTTTATAAGTGTAAAAAAAAGGATCCAAAGAGATTCCACGATCGTTTTTGCCGCTGTGTATAATTGTAGCCGTGAGAACGCAGGCAGATAATACATCTATCATTCGATCGTTTTGCACACGCACTCCGCCGTCGGTGACGATGAAAAAGGGGGATAAATATATGTATATTTCATGTACGTAACAAACCGTGATCTATCAGAATCGAATCCCCGTTTCTGGCTCTCGTTTCTAGAGATGGTGAGACTATGATGTATTCAACAACGTTATCCGACGATCCAACATTTCTCAAGATTAGCGATCAATAATACACATTATCCGTCGTAAAGTGCGACACTCGTCGAAATATGTTTTAGAGCATACTTTTTGCGCGTATTGAGTGTGACGTATCCGTTCAAAATCAACATCAGAGATATTTATGATTTGTGCTTTAATCGCGATCGTTCCAATTAAGGCGTATTAAAGTAAAATCAACTTTAAATTATACACGAAGCGATAAAGAGATAAATTCTGCAATCGGCAGATCATACATGTCACTGGCAAGTTCTTCGATGTAATATATATCTGGCATCGCAAAGATAGGAATTCCACGATTACCTGCAGCATTCGAGCGTCCTAAATTACCGGCATTAAATTTGAATTACGCGGTGGGAATCATAGGGTTGTGTGAACCTGGCGGTTTCTCGAATCACGTGGGTCTTAATGGATCATCCTAACGATGCAATCTGAAAAATCGCCTCTCAAAATTGAATATCCACGGAAGACGGACCGTTACAATACATTACAATGTATTCAGGTGGTGAGAGAGAGTGCAATAAGTCATTTATAATTATACCTATTAACGATGTCTAAGCGTCATCGATCATACCGCGAGATCCTAATGATATGCTCCAGTCGACGGGGCAGCTTATGCGCGACGGAAAAAAAATACAACGAATTTTATATTACTTATATTCCGATTATCGATCATGAATTTAAAAACGCACAAGTCATTAAAGATCGCATCACTTTAAAAACGCGAAAAATTATCGATAAGTTTTCATCTTGAAAACAATTTCTCAAGATACGCCGCGTTTTCACATCGATCGCATCGCAGCGTTGAACGACGTGGCCACGTGAGAACTCGTTCTCGTTTCCTCAAGATCGATCGTTACCGACTTTGTTACCCAACTGTCGGGATAATCTGCGGCAAGAATCACACACGAGCGACGACGATAGGCACGAAGAAGCGGGGGGCTCGTGTGTGTCCGGCCCGGAGGCGAGTGGAGGGCAGGTGCGCAGATGCTTTCGGGAGAATAATTAATATTCAGCGAGGAAAAAGTGGGCGCGAAAGGCCCGACGATGGCCTCCTCTTATAAACAGTTGACGCGTTAGCGAACGGGCACGCCGCTCGCTAGCCACGCACCTGGTATACCCGGTGCCGAATAAAAAGGAGAGGAATAAACTTTCGGCCTTTTCGCCGATTACGTCCATTACAGGCCTTCGGTTACATACACAGTATCGAGGCCTAACCCGAGGACCGTTTAACTTAATTCGAAAATTATGCGCTCGGCGCCGTGTGTCGGTGGCGAAATGATATAGCGTGCGCTTCCGTTATTAATACCGAAAGGTGTCCCCTCGCCTTCCGGTGCGTGTGTGTGTCGACTAATTTGTGTTGTTCGTCGCAACAGTGTCGCTTATCGCGCTGTGAGAAAGAAACATTCTCGATCTTTCCTCGTCGAAGTCCGTCGTGTGTCGATAAGGGCGGTGGTACTCGCAAGCTGTTTTCCTCCATTTTCCCGTGCGATGCAAATTAATGTCTCTCTTCCCGTCAATTGGTGCGGTAAATCTTGCCCGAGAGAAAGAGAGAGAGAGAGAGAGAGAGGAAGAAAGAGTATAATTAAATATAATTTTAATATATATCTTCTTTTATTCACAGTTTTTCGAATTCCAATTCCGATGGAAATTTTATGTATTCTCAAACATTGAATTTTATATTGTACCAACACAAGGAAACATTTAGAAATGTGGCCTCATCGATGGACTTCGGATGTATTGCGCACGTGCAGTAAAAGATTCTGTGTTAAAAATAGTTCACTGAAATTTTTGCGTTACTTTAACACGGGAAACGTGTTAAAAAGTACACAAATCTAATGCTGAAGTTAACATATTATTTTTTACCTCGTTAAAATAACATAAAATTTCAATTATTTGTTTTTAGCAGAAAATTTTTTACCGTACGAAAAAGTTTAGTTGAATTTACCGGACGATGAACGAAACCAGCACGTTTTGGTCGGAGGAGACGGGATTACCGGGTAAAAGAACAGAATCCGGCTTGTAAAAAGCAGAAATTCTGTTTTCTCCGACCGATATAAATGTTTTTGGTTTTTTCATCGTCAGATAAATTTAAACTTTCTCCTTTGTAAAGTGAACAAAAATAAGAGTCACGTGTTTTTCCACGTGTGCTTTCTCGCGCGTTTGTCGATTGAAATAATGCTTCAAGGAAGATTCGACGCGATTGAACGCGCCGAAAATTAAGGCTCGAGAAACGAGGCTTTAATTTGACTTGGTCCCCGCAACAAAGTTTCTCGGGGTCGCGATAAAAAATCACGCATGTACGTGGGACGCCCCATACATGTATCCACGAAACAGTAACGATGATAATGATAGCCGTCCGGGCGAGCTCCGCTCTAAATATGCTCCGAGTGTCCCCGTCACGAAGCAGGTTTACGGCGGGTCTGTCGCGGCTCCCGCATCGTCATCCAATGATATCATTATCGGTAATCTAAAAGCAAAAGAAAAAGAGAAAAAAAAAGAACAGGGAAAGAACCCAGATGATCGGCCCCTGCTTGTCAACGAAGGTATCGTCCGATCGTGCCGCGCCAGGAATTGCAGCTGCAGAAAACGAGGAAAACTTGTGATCAGATAAGAATAAAAGCAGAAGAGGGCGGTGTAAGGGGGAGCACAGAGTCGGAGGGGGGGAGATAAAGAGCGCTCACGGAGGAACGGAGGAGTACAAATTACGGGCACCCGGAACCGTTCTTGCGGCCGTGTTAACTTTCGTCGCGTGCCTTCAGGAAATACCTCAACTTTTGCAGCCACGTGCTATCGCGCGTCGGGGCATTATAAACTTTCTATCGTTCACCTTTGTCTCCCGCGTCTCGCCCTCGTGGCCCCCGTCCGCTTTACGTGCAATTCGCAAAAATTGCCCGTGCAATCACCATTTTCGAAAGTGACCGTCCTTGTCGCCGAGAAGAATCTCGCTCCCGTGTCGAAGGCTTTTCGTAAATGCTTATTACTCTACGGCGCGGTTAATCTGAAATTTTTACCTTTACTTTTACTTATTAGACCGTGTTCCTGTGATTACCCGTAATCGTTTCTATGTATGAAAATTACTAAAATTATTGATTAGGTAGTATCTCTTCGATGAATACAGCGCTGTTTGAGTGAGCGTTATATTAACGCTTGGCAAACTAGTTAGGACCTTTCATCTCATAATTGTAATTTCTTTCGTTCAACTATGAGCTTATTTATCTAACCACTAGAAGTCAGCGTTACGTAACTGGTTAATAGCGACGGACAATAACCATACAACATTTGTAATGTGCAGGTACGAAGCCGTGGTTCTACTTTGCCATGAAGTAAAGGCTGCTTACGATGATTTGGATATTGACTGGTCGATCGTGTACAACGCCGGTTGCACCATCGACGACACACCCCTGCCTGAGCACGTGACGGAGCCCAAAGATCTCGATCGTTTGATCGGTGAAACGTTCAAATTGTTTTTGGTGGCTCTACCCAAAGATCCGACCATTGTCACCATCGCCAGGTAAATCACTTCTCTCATCGGCAATCTTAGAAATACAGGCTGATTCATTTTAATAGAATCCATGTATCTCTACAAATTGAAATTTTACGAAACATTTTCCAGGACAATGTTTCAAAGATGTCAAACAGAATAATTTTTAGCATTATTGTTTCTTGCGTAAGTGGCAATTTCCAGGATCACTTTGAAGTCAACTTCATTTTTTACAGTGAGACCACGCAGTAAAAAACATTTTGTATGTTTTTATGTTAAAATCGGTCCTTGTTAATATTGCTGTGTTAAATTTTCAACATGCCCGCATGTTAATTTAACGTATTGTGTTTATGTTATTCAATATTTCATAATATTCAGTATTTTAAATATCTCAATATTTTATGTCGAGTCGATCGGTGAAATTGAATGTTCGGCTTATTTTTAAATTGTTCGTAAATTCACGGGCTACGACGAGCGAAATTACGTCGGCGCGCTTTCGCACGCGCACGACCAAAGCCTGCAGAAGTCGCAGATGGCGCGTAAGAAGATGCTGCTGGGAGGGTACGAAGAAGGGCGGCTTACGGGGGGCAACAACTACGGGGCTGTCTGAAGGGTGGGTTCGGGGATTGTGGGGATACCCTTAAGCCCCACCCCCCACAGAAGGGAGAAGATGGATTTCAGGGAGGGTTGCACAAAATCAAACCATCCAACTTTCACGAGTCACAGTTAGATGTCCCTACCTTTGATGTCCCGTGGTACACGTCGTCTGTGCTTCTTCTTCTTCCGTGTTTTATCCCCCGATATTTTTCGCGAAGACTGAAATAGACGGGAGCAACTGTTGCTCCGTCGAAATTATAAAAAAAAAGTTAGTCGATACGTACTAAGTTTCCGCAAAGAATGTGAAAAATCAATATAGCGAAGGTACGAGCAGATCTATGTAAATTTGATAATCACGAGTATTTTGGTTTTCAGTTGACTCAGTTGAACAATTTCCCAAGTATTCCGCAAAATTTGAGTAAACTAAATATCTTGCTCCTCATAAAGAAACACATGTTGAGAGAACAATGTTTACTTATATCAATGATGTATGCAATAATTAACTGATTACTAAAAGAAATTTCACGTCATTTTATCGCCTTGGTCTAAATTAATATTCCTGCCAATTAATAAAGTCGTTGTCAGCATAAGCGTCTTCAGATATTAATATTATTAGTACTATTAACATTGTTAATTTTATATATAAAAAAGTAGCCTGTTTGGTGATTCGGTACGGGAATGAATTTGTTATACTTTCTTCATCAAGTAAATATGGTCCTGTGAATGATAGCTTAGCGCCATCTCGTGACGAGCGTGAGGAGATTCTGCTCAGGCTCTCGGCGGAGAAAAAAATCGATTTCACCCTGTTCGACGTCCTTTCAACCCTCGCTGTCCTCAATCTCTACATAGGCGCATTAGTTTCCGGGGTAGACGTGGAAACGCCACCGGATATCGCTTTTAGACAGTCTGCAGTCTCTCATTCGCAGTTTGTGCTGTGCGGCGATTAAATGAACGGAAGCAAAAGTCGACGAAAGTGAGGGTGGAAAATAGAAAAGAAGCGAAAGCCCGACAGGAAAGCAAAAATGACGACAGGTGTAGGCGAAAAAAAGTGAAAGCGACGTTTAATGAGAAAAAGACAGAGATGGTCGACAATTGATTTCTGATGGCCGATTTTCGTATTTTTTTTTTTTTTTCTTTTCGTACCGCCACATTCGAACGATTATCAAATATTTCGTAGGTAGAAATCTTCCTTAAACAGTTTAACTAATTTATTGAAGAAGTTAAAGTAAGTATGAGTACCAATTCGTAACGAAGGAAGACATATATAAAAACGACAAAGAAGCGGATTTCAGCAAGGAAATGTTATCACGCAAGTCGATAATATTTGATCGAAAGTCCAAGAACAGCAGTTATTGTCAGTTTTACGTTCATACAAACAAATCAATTGTATTTCTTTCTCTTGTAGGTCTAGCTACGACGACTACTGTCCTTCTGAGGACGTCGAGGAAATTCAGTGTGCGGTTCTCGACGAATTCGTTTTGCAACTCGGGTCTACAGATGAGGAGATTCACATTATGTGCTAGACTTTGGAAAGGGTGTATGAATCATAAATAAAGAGATGTTCCCTTCCCTTTAAATCCATGGAACTAGAATCTGTCGAATAAAGATGCTCTTACGACATTAAACATGTTTTATACGAGTAATCATCTAAACCTATGTGACGTATCTTAATTTTTTTCTAGTATTATTCACGAGATTGCATCACACACACACATACACACACACAACAACGATAATTCGACGCCAACCTGCGTTGAAATCAGGTAAGTGTTACATCATACCGACTTGATCACAGCGATCATAAACGTTACGTCTAAAAATCGACGAATGAAGCGATCGTCCGTTCCGATCGACAGAACGGAATTCCACGATTAATTCGCAACATTGAACGAAGACAAACTTGTATCTACATCGGCTCTGTGGATGACCAAGGAGAGATAGAACAGGCCTTTCGGGGCCTAATCGTGATTATTATTGTAACGTTACTTTTAGTTTTGTGGGGGGAGATAAATATTTAACGTGTGTGATGATACGTAGCGGATAATTTTTCTGGACAAACGTACGCGATGAATCAACCTTCCACATTAAACGAATCCCGAGTCCCAATTACTTTCTTACATATAATTCCCCTTAACTCTCTTTTTCCCGGGTATTGAGATAATTAATGCAGCATATATTGAAATTCCGACAAAAATTCGGACATTTTCGCACAATATCTCCATAATTAGTCTTTAATATCGCGGTGGTTTCTCATTAAAATCTTAGATCTGGTTTAGAAGAAAATAAGAAAAAAATACAAATAGGATATTATAAACGATTTTTCACAAATATGCAGCTACATTGAAGAGGATTCCTAAGTAAATGGAGTTAGACGGATCAACTATCTGAATTCTGACCGCGGCTCGGTGATCCACTAGTCGCAAGAGCGGTCTCGAGCGGCATCAAAACTGCATCATTCGATCGAGACGTCGTGCGAGAGTGCGGCAGATACGAAGATCGAAACGTAAACACAGGGGAAAGGGAGGGGGGGGAGGGGGGTCGAAGGAGACGGTGGTGCGAGTGTTGTTTGATTGCGCGACGACGATTTACATAAGATTGGTGCCACTGGTCCACTATGGGACGCGAGTACAATGCCGGCGCGAAGGTTGCCGCATTCCTTTTTTTCCTTCTTCCTCTTCTCCTCGTAGCGAAAGTATACCCTCTGTGCTCCCCCCCGCCGATCCACTCGTTCCACGAGTCTCAGATTTGCATACCTCGGGCCAGTTTCCCATACGTCTCGACAGCTTCCGTCTCGTCGCTTCTACCCTCTCCTCTCTCTCTCTTTCTGGTACGTTCCATGTCTCCTTCTCTCATCCTCTGTCTCGCGTCCCGCGTCTCTGCTCTTCCTGAGGCAACAACCCTTTCAGCCGGCGAGACGGAGACAAAAACCGCGGGAGTGCACGAAAAAACGGACGCCTTCGGTCCTCCGACGATGACGTTTCCTGGCGAGACGCTGCTGTCTCGCAGCGTGTCTATTGTGGCGATGGCACGACAAGCCTCGGAATAGTTGCCGCGGATGTTGTTTTTTGCGCCGGCCCGCAGCGAAGACCGGCGGAAGAGGAAGGCGCGCGAACACGCTCAGTGAGAGTGCAGATGCCTCCAGCTCGATCCGTGATCAAGGACACGGCCGTAATATCGTCGGGACACTATGCGAGCGTCTCTCCGACGGAGTTTCCGCCGTCGTGTTACGCGTGAGACAGACCACTCCGGACTCGATTAATATTCGCTCTCTCCGCGATTAATGTTCCCCTACCCCCCTCTCCGACAGTTTTTGTCACGACCCACCGCAGCCCTTATTCATTAGCGGAAGCTGTATTAACATTCCATTACGCGGATGCGGAGTGTTCTGCAATTCGGCGCAATGCACCAGAATGAAATGTTACTTAATATAGACAGGGGATGCACTTTTCTCTAAATAAAATTAATTAATTCAATAATAAGATTCAATAATAATAATGAAATTAAATAATAAGTAAACAGCGCTGCCGTCCAGTCACTTAAATCACCTCACATCACTTTTTCGCGACGAGTCATGAAAAAATTCATTATCGTCCGTAATGGGTCACTGTATATCAATTTTTCTCCTGAGCTGCCGTTAAATTTGTAAAATATGGGCGTCCTATGTACATTTTTGCCGTTTCTTTTGATGAAGCTGCTCCGAAAGCGTACTCGTATCGTTCACACCCTTGGTTTTCCTCATTACGAACTTTCAAATCGTACTACGAAAAGAACTCGCTGTATGCTGAGCTATTCAAAGATGAGAGGAGGTAAGTGTTGCTTTATTTAAAATTTTTCCTCAAACAAACAATATTTCGTATAAATATATGAGACGAATTTCGGTCGAATAAACAGATACGCTAAATCTAAAGAAGCCTTTTTCCCTGTGTATTAATATATAATTAATACACGTAAGTCGCATCGCGAAGAAATTTGTTCGCGTGTCTCGAGAACGCTCACTTGTATTCGCAGGCGGTCGTCGTCTTTGTCCGGCGATTAACATGCGGCCGAGGAATAATCATTAACCGGACGAGGTGAATGCCGAAGTGCAGTCGCTCGACGGAGGAACGAACGTTAAAAAACCACCGCGAGCGGAGAGGGTGAGGCGAGAGAAAGAGAGGGGAGGTTCTCGGAGGTCTCCCGTAATGATTGTCGTTAACCGCGCTGCGCTGTGCAAACCGTTCGGTCCGCAGCCGAGACTTTTGTATGCTAAATAACAGGGTAGTCCGATTTCATCCTACGGCCGAGTAAAAAATCTTGCGGGTCAACAGACCCATCTCGTTCGGCCGAGTTTCGAGTCTCCCCCGGGCGCCATTGACCTCGAATTGAAAACGGACGCGACCTCTCCCGCCCGTCCGTCGGCTTCTTGCCGCCGTCGGGAATTTTACAACGGAGCTCTTTCTCGCCTGTAACGTGACACCCACACTTCGTTGATTTCGTTGTCCTACCCTTGCCTTTCTCGCGACGCGTTCCGCACCGATTTCGCGGCCTGAGAACAAGACGACGCGGCGAATGCGAAGGTCGACGGTAATTCTGCACTTTTGTGCACGGTTGTTCAAAAGGTGACACGATCATTCCGGTGCTGAAGCGAAGCCGAATAACAGAATTGAATAATAGAGTCGAGATTTAATCCTCCCTCCTACCTTGAAGTTGCGATTAAAGTTAAAAGTGATGAAATTTATCTTTTAATGCGCTAAAAGTGACCATCTTTTCTTTTTTTTCATACGTGTGAGATATGCCGTTATTTATTCACGGGTTGTTTCTCTCTCAGTATTCAATTTTTTTCCCATTTTTTCGTAGTTAAAGTTCAGTACGTTCGCTGCGCGCATAATAGAGATAAAGATTGGAAGATTTAATGGACGCGCAGCTAAGATCGTCGAGATCGCGAGTGTAACGTGCTTGAATAATAAAAAGCCGAATAATTGAGTCGATTTGATTAGGCGCTCTTATTAATACTAGCCTCGTACCTTCGCCGGATTGCACAGCGCGTAGCAAATGTAAATATTGTTCTACCGCGAGCTCGCTCTTTATAATTTGCAATTTTCTCTTCTCTCTTTCTCTCTCTCTCTCTCTCTCTCTCTCTCTTTCACGGCCGTTCACATTCCATTCATCCAGGTGACACCGTGTCAGTGGGTTCTAAAGGAATTATTCAAAACCAGCCCTGACTGGCAAAAGTGCAGCCGTCCCTGGAACTGTAATCCCATACCCGTATCTGATCTGCATAAAAGAGAGAGAGAGAGAGAGAGAGGGAGAAAAAAAACGTCGCTCGGGGAAAAACAAAAGCGCGGAGAAAACGTAAATCCGCGCGGGAGTCACGGGCTTTGCGAAACGAATAACTGTAACACGGCCGATTCTCTGTATCGCCCACCATTGTTTAAATATTGCGTCTAAAACGACGAACAAATCGAGATCTCTAAAATATTTATGCACAGCGTATATATATGTGTGCACGGAGAAAAATATTTCGCTGGCGCAACGAATTGTTAGTCATTATAGGGACAACAAAACAATTCGCTCGAACGGCAAGAAGATTTGTTAGTAATTAACATTCTTCATAGTACAACATTCTTAAATAATAATTAACATTCTTATTTCCTGGACGTACAGATAGCAAAATAATTTATGCCGAATTGCAATTTTATCGGTGCAACGGCAACAACGCTTTTTCTACAACGGCAGAATTATTTTGTCCACGTGCGTTCATGTAGAAAACGACAAATTATCTCTTTACATAACATTTCCTCTTACATTAGTAGGTTCCCGGTAAAAATGTCGCAACGTTTTTCATTGTTTCCGCGACTTATTTGTCGCACACTCGACGCGAAAGTTTGTCTCTACTTGATATCGCAAAGCATATCACTTAAAGGGGAGGTAAAGGACCCGCGTAAGGACGCGAGGCCGCTTTATAGTTGAGCGTTTGGAAGCGGCAATTAAAAAATCTCCACGACATCCCGTTCTTCTATTTTCCTCTTTTCCTCTCTCTCTCTCTCTCTCTCTCTCCTTCCCTCCCTCTTTCCTTCGTCAAACCTGAAGTAACCGGTGGTGCCCTGTCGATTCTCTCGAGGAGTATAGCGATTATGCGCGTGACGAAAGAGATCTTCAGCCGAATATGCTAATGCGCACCGCGGTATAATGCGAGGCCGATACACCGAGGCAAAGCCAATTATGGCCGCGGAGACCTATCGTGCTCGATATTCCGTTTTGCACGTGGGTTGTCTTCGAAATCCCTCTCTCTCTCTCGCTCTCGCAGTTGCACAAACGCACGGTAGGCGAGACGAGAGAAGGGACGAGGAGAGGGTTGCATAGACAACGCCGCATAGGCGGAGGTCCGCACCGGTGTCCATTGTTCGAAAGCGCTATTTGTATTTATTTGGGCCCTTTGTTCGAGCCTTGAGAGATTCATGGGGCGAAAGGTGGGGCAAGAGCCGGAAAAGGAAAGAAAGAAAGAGAGGTGGAGAGCGGGGAGAGACCGAGAGAGAGAGACGAGAGAGAATTTATTCGGAGGACGAGGCAAAGGGTGAGAGTGCGGTCCACTAGTCGTTACGGGACTATTCTGTGTTTCGGTTTGGAAA